TTTTCAACCTGTTACGAGCATAACGGGCGGAGGTCGAGATATTATGGCCGCTGTATGTTTCAGTACTTACTTATTAAGTTTCAATATTTAGGTACCTATTTATTTATTCTGAAAAATTTTCAGAATATTTTAAGATTTTTTAAAAATGTATACAGGGTGTTTTGAAAAATCTGGTCATTGATTAATCACGATCCTGCTTAAAGCCCTTGACGTAAAAAGCTGATTTTTGGAAAACGGATTGACATTAGGGTGTAGAGGTTCGATAAGAAGGGATTTTTCGAAACTCGAATTCTAAGGGGGTGAAACTATCCCTCAAATATTAAAATATTTTTTATTTAAAACCCGGTGAGTTTTTCGAAAAAACTCTTAAACACGTATATTTTATTTTGTTGTTTTACATATTTTAAGATTTTTTATAAATGTATACAGGGTGTTTCATAAAATATGACCAATGAGTAATCGCGATTCTGCTTGACGTTTAAAGCTGATTTTTGGCAAACGGATTGACTGTGGGGTGTAGAGGTTCGATAAGGAGGGGTTTCTCGAATCTCAAATTCCAACAGGGTGAAAACGCCCCTCAAATATTACAATATTTGTTATTTAAAAAACGGTTAGTCTTTCGGGAAAACGCCTGGACACGCATAACTTATTTTGTTTTTTTACATATTTTGAAATTTTTTCAAAAATCATACAGGGTGTTCCCAAAAGTTGAGTAATTGATTAACCACGATTCTGCTTAAACTGCTCGATGTTTAAAGCTTATTTTTGGCACATGTGAGAAAATTTTATCTAGTCTGTATGTTAATAGAAATTCTTGTTTTGCTTTATCATCACCATTAGAAATTATTAATTCGACGCGAACGAAGTCGCGGGTACACGCTAGTTTAAGTGTAAAATAAATTCGAACTCTAGTATGTAGTTGGTTTACTTATGAAGAATATACTACACATTTTCTTATATTGCTATTTTTTGACCGCAAATGGTAAAATCATAACTAAGAGCTTCTCGCCCGTCGAGTGAGATGCACCCTGTACACTGTTACTCAATTCGGGATCTACGCGGATCGAGGTGCAGGGCGTAGGTAGATCGGAATGTATAGGTATAGACGAGTGGCGGAATTTTGGCTTCTTTATATCGCAACTACCATCGTTTTTAGAGAGGTATTTTAGATAGCAATCAATATTTAGTAATGTTTTGACACCCTGGAAATACTACCACCGAGCACGTCATTGTTGCAATTTGCAACTGCGTTAATACGCCTGGCGGTGACCGCCTCATACTCTTTCAGATATTTAGCAATAAAATAACCTGTTATTTTTAAGCTGTTATTTTAAGCTGTTTTTTATAAATCACTATAACAGTTTCAAGTGTTATCTAAAAATAACAGTTTTGCCCGTCACTAATTTGGAAGCCTATTTGAATAGTACGTCACAAAAATTTTTCAGCGGAAATGCATAATTTTCAGTTTTTCAACTTTAGAATAGCCGAAATCAGTTACATGAAAAAACGTTTCTGCTTTTCATTCTAGAAATTTTTCTAAACATAGACTCGCAAAAAAACTTCTTGCGGAAGTGTACCATTTTTATTTATTGATATAATACTGTAAAATATATCAAAATTTGAAAAGTACTAGGCAGTTGGAATTCGTAAACAGACACGTTTTAGCTTACAGCGTGTTTTGGTTAGGTTTGTTTTGGTTTGGTTTGTTGGTTCATTTTTATTTATTTTCGTTTTTTTTTCTCGGTATGGTATTGATATCTAAATTACAGTATTTACTAGGTTAAGTTCATACCTACACAAGAAAAGTGTTTAGAATGTAAAGCAGGAACACTTTCATGATTCAACTGATTTTAGTTATTCTAAAGTCGGAAAAAGAGAATTATGCATTTCCGCAGAAATTTTTTTATGATTTTGTGTTTGAGGAGGCTTCCATATATGTTTTGTTGTTTTTTATAAGTGATTTCAAGTAAAAAAAAACTTCGCTCAAGATAGCGGCTAACTATCTCAAAATTTCCAATTTGTTTGGTATTTCCTTGTTAACTTACCAAAGTGGTAGGTATGCCCACACTCTCTGCCGCAGAAAAAGCCAACGAAAAATTTCTCCGTTTTTCCTGAGGCGTCAACGAATCGTAGGGGATTTTGTCGGGCAGGTAAGTGTGCAAAAGGGCACATAAGGCCAAGCCATCGTTCCAACTGCTACTGAAGTTGGTGATGTCGATGTTGCGATAACCTACAGTCTTATTCTGGCACCATTTCAACAAGGCGTTGCGTTTGGAACCCCCGTTCTTAACCAAACTGTTTAGCGGATCTTTGCGCTCACCTAGAAAAATATTTTTGTTGTGTCTGACAAAGAGAATATAATAAAGTTTTATTTTTTTTAAATGGCATTACAAAATTGTGTCTATAGTTTCTATGCGTCTTCAGAAACAGTTTGTAGATAATCCCACATTCTGTTACAGTACGTCTATCCGTTCTGTAGCTACGGGGCATCTGTAAGGGGGGAAACGATATTCTCTCGATGTTTCTCGCAAAAAATAGACGACGCGTCCCATCAATAAAAATTCGACAAATTTGCAAGTAGTCAATGAAATTAGTGGGCGGAGTGTTTTGCGGTGACATACTCGTCAATTCCACGTGGACTCTCTGCCGTTTCTATTCACGTAGCGATTTATAAAATATATTGCTGATTATTTAAATGTTTTTTATCCGAATTCCTTTCATAGACACAGATCCAGTAGACGTACCTTAAATATGTAGGGATTGTTTGGAAATGAAGAAGCGTAGAAAATATTTGGTTACTATACGACTTTAATTTCTGAATGCTTACTTAGATCGGAGTAGCTGTTCCTTCTAGAGAAATCAATTCCTTTTTGTAGGATCGACTCTCTGTAATTATCGTCAGATTTTGTCTTGACTAGATCTGGTTTCGCCAAACCATCTACAACAAAAAAAATCAACAATGGTTTTAACAAGCTTTTCAGAATCAAGTCCATTTGCATGTTTGATTGTTAGAAGGTATTTAACCAACTTTTTTTTTAGAAGACTTTGTATATTTTTACAAGTTCTCCCATTTTCGTGTGTTTGCAGGGTTTCACAAGATGCGGTTTTCACAATACGTCTACATTTTTTTTATGAAACTACAGATGCTACACACAGATTTGTCCTAACCTGCTTAACATTTTTCGCCTCTCCTCGTATCTCGGTTATCTTATAACTTATCAAAAAGATGAAAATGAGTCCCATATAGGTTTTCACGTAAAATTCAGTGACGTAACTAGTTTTTGCTGGGAGCTGTCATTCTTGAAATATGACTCAAACTTATTTTTCCGAAAATGATAGCTCCCAGCGAAAAATCTATGTACTACAGGACGCAGTTTTCACATTTTCGATAAGTTATAAGATAACCAAGATACAAAAATCGTCGAAAAATAAAACATTTTAAAATTCGCCCTGTATTTCAGGGACTAAGAAGGCTAGAAAAAATCTGTATTTCATCTTTAGTTTCACAAAAAGTAGCACAGTGATGCAAGAACCGCATCTTTGTATCTCTACTCATAAATGAGAAACCCTGTAAAACAGAAATACCCTGTACAGTGCTCTAAATTCCATGGTGACCACTGGCTAATAAGATATCTCGTCATTATTTTACACTTTAAAATCCACACCACAGATTTAGGATGACCAGGCCTGTTCAAATAATAAAACATTTACTTATTTACTTACCACCAATAACACCCTTGCTCCAATTATTTATCTTGTTCGGTTGTTGCTCTTTTAACGGCGTTTTAATCTGCGTTACTGGGGTAGGGGCAACATCCGGCCAATCAGATGATGTTCTCAGAGGACTTCCCGGCGAGGGCGTGGTCAGTATTGAAGGACTGGAAGGGTTCCGGATGTCTGATGCCAACGAATTTAGGGAAGAGGCTGAACTACTTCTGCTTACTGTGGACAAACCTAGAATACAAAAAAAAAATGCTGTAGTATAGGTAACTAAAAAGATATTATTTTTTTAAGGTTATGACAGTATCTATGAAAGTAAACACGGTCCTGTGTATGAAGAGTACAGTCAATGGTGTTCAGTACAATAAGACGTACTGAACAAAGAGAGAATTGATTTGGTTGATCGAACTTACTGCTTTTTGGTACGGGTTTTCCTTGGTTCTCGATCGATTCAATCAGCGACTTAACTGATTGTCGGCTATTTTGTCTGCTTAATACGACGTTCTTTCTTCGTAAATTGAGATCATCTGTGGGAAAACTTGTTGGACGAATTGATACTTGCTCGTGATTAGCTAGAATAAATATCAACACCACTTATGGACGAAACACAGAAGACATCCAAAAATAGAAGAAGAAAACTTTTGAATTAGAATGTAGACCATGATGATGACCGTTCTATTGTTAGACCGACTGTATCTAAAATCTGTTTAACAAAAGGATGCATGACAATGACAGTTCGGACTGTCATTGTCACAGTTCGGACTGTCATTTTAATTCACAAGTAAATTATATTTTCTGTCACTTTTTGGATGTCGTCTGTCGAAATCTTCCTTGACTTATTCAAGATTTTTTCTTGTAATACAAATGATCCAGCCTAGAGCGTTTAAGTCGTATTTATTTTTGAGTTTCTAATAAAATCTGATGTAAGTGATCTGTGTTATTTGCTGTGCTCTTATTACTTCCTCAGATTGGATTTTATGATAAAATTTGAACTGCAAAAAGATTCAATCTTTGATTTGATTGAAGTATGAAAAAAAATAATAAGTATTCATTAAAAGTAGGTAATTTTAAATATCGTCTATTGCAAAATTATTTATTCAATAATTATATTAGTGAATTGAATTTAATAGGCATAATGAAGATTGGAATATATTTTTTTGGAACTCAGAATTGGTTTTATATATCTTGATATTGAAATCATCTATGGATATCGATTTAGATATTTTACTAATATCGTCTTCTCTATAAACAATAGCAAGAGATACTAATTAAACAACATACAGGCTGATAATATTTTTTATTCTAATAAATCTATATATAAATTTTACAAAGATTCACTAAAAAAAACAACATGATTATGTTTACTTTGAAGATGATTATGAAACCATTCGAAATATCAATCGTACATAGGTATATGTCTATACGAAATATAATACTGTATACAATGCTACATCCCATTTTACTAACAATTACATTTGATGAAAACTCTTGGTCTCCCTCGTAACACTGCGAATATTTCTTAATTCGGCCGCTGTTCTTGGACTCTCATCTTTATTCGCCTCGGCCAAAGCTTCAAACAACTTTTTCGCCTGGTTGAAACTCGATCGACTGCTCCTAATTTGAGTGTGACTACTCGACGATCTTTTCGCTAAAACCTCCAAAGATTCTGCCAAATCGTCTTTTTTCAATCTCTTTGTCATATCCTCTGGATTATTCGTTTCTTCTTTGTTTGTATTTTTACTAATTTCAGCTGCCTGGCCCAAAACGTGAAACGTTTTTTCGCGTTCAAGAGTATCGTAGTTTTTTGCTGTTTCGGGCTTGGTAAAGTATGGTGTGGTATTGTCGTCTATAGGGACGAAATCCACAACTTTCGGCATGCTTGGGAAATCCGCAATTTTTTCATCGGTAAATGAATCGCTTGGGTCTTCGGTCATCAGCGTAAACCCGGCTGCGATGCCCGATACAAAATGCTTTTTACCTCGAAGTGTGTCGAAATCCTTGCTCTCTTTGCTCTTGAAGAGGTCTAAGTAAGATTCGCAAGACGATTCTGAGTCGATTTTAAATAAATTGAGAGTGGACGCGTCTGAGGAATTCGGTCTAGATATTTCCTCAACGTCGTCGTCTAAACCAGCCGCAGGTGGGATATTAGTCAGGTCCAATTGCTCGGTTTTAGTGGATACCACAATAGTTTTAGAAGACGTGGCACCTGGCAAATTAGCGTCTTCCAAACGACCCTTCGAAGAGTTACCTTCCATTACCATAACCCGTGTTTTCTCGAGTTCTGGCTCGACTGATTTGATTTTGTTTTCTTCACTTAACAACTGGGGCTTTTCACTATGTTTCGATTCTTCAAACAAATCCTTTCTAGGACCCTGTTCTAGTTTCAAATCCGTCTCTTTAACGGCGTTTTCACTGAAATTTTCTTCCGACTTCATTCTAGGACCGAAATTATGAAGTTTCGTGACAGCACTGTCAGTGTGACGACTTGTCGGTTTCGGAGGGAATTTCTGAGGTGGAACAGGCGGATCTTTAAATCGGCGTGCTGGTAAGGGTTTTGGTTTGGCGATTTGAATAAGATTCCGTGGAGATTCTGTTTGATTTGGAACAAATATAGTCTCTTTGTAACTGTTTTTACTGTTGGGCGATGCAGGACTGGCTGTTTCTCGAGATATTTCTTCAGGTACAAAGATAGTTTCTTTAAAATTAACAGAAGACCTTTGAACCGAATCACTAAGTTTACCATCTTTAGTATTTAATGAACTTGTTTTTTGTGAATTCGAGGTGAAACTAGATACACTCACAGCAGATGTTACAGTGAATGGTTGTGATCGTTCTTTGGCATTAGGTATTACTTTAAATTGATAACTTGGTGATAGAGGACTTTTTGGTGATTCTATATCATTTTGATGTGGTATTAAAAGAGTTTCTGTGAACATCAGATCTGATAATCGTTTAGAAGCTCTCGATTCTGCTTGTAAAGAGGCTGGAAACGATTGACGTTCTGATTTGTTTTGAACTTTTGAATTTCTGAAAACTACGTTTTCGTACTTTTTGGCTTGAGGTAGTAAACTAGGTGGTAAAGATTTCCGTTCTTCATTGCCACTTGGTTTTATCGTAGTATCCATGTTCGATTCTGTGCTAGTTCTGTTTGAAACGCTTTCACTATACCTTTTAGACATTTCCTGAATCATTAGTAAGTCTTTCTCATTAATTTCTGAAACCGGTCTAGATTCTTCAGTTATTTTCAATGAACTTATTAAGTTTAATTCATCGTGCGTGAGACTTTGAAGCTTCTCTTTAAGTCCTTCACCCGTTGGAACGTTATGCTTCCTTACTTCCACTGGTGATGTTGGCGAGGCAGGAGGAGAGGAAGCATATTTCTCCCGCATTTCTGCGATAAATGATAAATCCTCTAAAGACAAAATTTCTTCAGGTTCGTCTTTATTTGTTGCAACAACTTCAGTAGTAGTATTTTCTACACGAATGTCTGGAAGATTTTCAACTTTCTCGTATTTCTTCAAATTAGTCTTGTTTTCTTCAGTTTTAACATTAGATTCTTTGACTAATAAAGAAGCTCTGGTATGCAAGTATTTTTCCATAATATCCTTCATGTCCTGGTCAATTTGAGACATACGATTTTCAGCTTTTCTGATCAATACATCGGAATTTTCTTCATCTGGTAATATGCTATCACTGATTTCAGCTTCGTTTTGCTGATGGTCCATTAATACGTCAGAATGTTCATCATCTTGTGATATGTTTTCATTTGGCTCATCTATAAAAGTCTGAACAGGTTTAAAAAAATCATCAATAAACTCTTCCTGGTATTCGATATCACTAGCATCACTGTTCTCTTCTTTTGTTTCTTCTGGGTTAAATTTGTTTTTATATTCTTTTACTAGATTTCGATATGTTTTCCTAAGATCTAAAGGCGAAACCACACCATATTTGTTTTCTTTAAACGTGGAGTTATAATCTTCTTTATTATAAAATGGTTGGTTAGATGTAATCTGGCCTGTATACTCTTCTTCTTCAGATTGATATGGATATGTTGAATATGAGCTAACATCAGCTCTATTTATGCTATCATCAACTGATTCTTCAGCTATCTCAAGCATTGAATCTACGATATCTGTACTTGGTAAAGGTACTTTTGGTGCAAATATATGGATCTCTTTTGACAAGGATGGGCTTGTTGTTAATGAGTCAACAATAGTTGTCACTGTATACTCATCATGTTTTGATTGCTCTGGTAGCTTTAAGACATCATATGGTGATAATTTAACATCCACTGGACAAGGGCTTGTTGGAAGAGGAGGCGGTAAAGAATCAAAATCTTCGACACTACCCTTAACAGCAGGTTGTTCAATACGGTTGTCTAAAGATACTGCAGGCGGTGAATGTAAATTTTCATTTTCTAATTCAACTATTTTTACGCTAGGTTTATAGTTTTCATCTTCTGAATATCCAGAAATTACTGACCAAGACTGTGTAATAGATGTTACACCATCTTGTACGTTGGTTTCATTTGAATTGAAAATTATTTCAAATAAATCATCAATGTTTTTAGTCGGTTTTTCATCAACAATTTTGGTCAGTTTATCAAAATTATCAGTAGCCAAGGATTCTTCCTTGTGAGAAGCACTAGGTTCACTTTCTTGGATAAGTACCTTTTCAGCATAAACTACGCCAACTTCAGAAGAAGCATCTTTGTGTACTACTTCTTTATATATATCTGTAGTGTCAATTGTATGAAACTTATCTCTCATAATTTCATTAACTGTATCTGTTAAGTCAGTTTTAATGTCATCTGGAGTTCGAACAATCTCTTTAGAGTTATCTTCTTTATCAACATGTTCTACATTTTCTATGTTATCCATACTTGGTTTAAGGTCAATCACATCTAGTTCTTTTGAGTTTTCATCATTCTCTATATGATCTGTTGTTATATCAGCCATAGGTAGAATATCTGACGATGAAGCTTCTTTAACATGTGTAGAAATATTTAAGTCTTGTTCATTTTTATCAATGTGATTATCTCTATACGATAGTCTCCAATTTTCTATAGAATTTTGTATCTTTTTTGGAAGGTGTGTAAAATGCCTAACGTCTTCTTGAAAACTTCTTCTTAAATGAATTGAATCAACAGTATCAGGACGAGTAATAGTATCATGCGTTTCTATCTTTGCAGGTTTAACAACTGATTCTTCATCGCTTATTCTTTTATTAGAATCAGTAGAGTTTTCTATAGGAGTTTCCAAGTCTTTCAATTCAGAACTTGAGAATGATTTTTCCTTCTCTAGAAATTCATGAAGAAAATCAACAGAAAAAGTATCTTTAACTTTTTCCTCGTTAGCCTGTATATTTTCAATCTTTTGAGCCTCACATTCTTTTGTATCAAACGCAGCAACAATATTTCCAACTTGGTATTTAACATCTTCCCTAATTTTAAACTTCGGCTTTCGTAAGCTTCTTCTAAGCTCATGAACTTCGATGTTCTTCATCTTAGGATCATCTTCATATTTCTTTGATACCTCTTTAATCTTAGGATCGTCACAATACGCTTGATCCTCCATATGCATCTTAAGATCATCCTCATGCTTAGTTGAAATTTCTTTAATCTTAGGGTCGTTACTATGCATTTGAGCTTCCATATTCTTCTTATTAAGATCATCTTCATGTCTATTTGGAACCTCTTCAATCTTAGGATCATTACTATGTTCATAATCAAAATTAGATTCCCCTATATGGCTTGAGTGTCTATAAAGATTAGGTACGCTTTGCCACTGTTTCTCTTTTGATTTCTCCTTGTGCTTGGCCTTAGCAAATGTATCATTGTAGAGAAGGTCTTCAGAGAATGTACTTTCTGGTGTCATATTGTGTTGTTGATGGTGTAAATTAATTCTACCTGTATCTAAATTAAACTCGGCACTTGTAAATGACGATGAAGTGTCAGAATTTATTCTTGTTTGGTCTTTCAGTTTGCGGGCTTGCTCGCTGTAATACATGTTGAGAAGACTGTTCTCCGGCACAAACGAGAATGAAATATTGTCGTACGACTTACTGGAATGTAACGTGGGGTTTAGTTCTGAAGCTTCGGCTCTTTCTCCAATGTCACTACTGATATCTGTGCTGTGTCTGTTTATATCGACAAAGAACGTGGATCTAGGTTCATTCTTTATAGTTTTGTATCGCGGATTTAGCAGAATCTCTTTTAATTTTGCGTTTTTTTGAACCGATTGTACTGTAGGAGCGCTAATCTCCATTTGTTTCATTGATTTCCTGGATTTCTTCAGTTTTTTAAGGGTATTTTTTCGTTCAGCTTCTTCCAAAGCTTGTTTTAACTTAAGCGCGAATTTCTGTCGGTCAGTAAGCGCACTTTCAGATATGTTTTTCGGAATGTCGCGAATAATTTCATCTAGATTTTCGAAATTTACGTAAATATCTGGTTTTGGGAGATCGTTCCCTTGGGTTTCGTTTGGTTTGTACTGTAAACGGGACTTCCTATCATAATATTTGGACGAATATCTTGGGTTGGATACGGAGTCAAACGGTTGAACATCGCTGGACATTATTTTATACGAAGGTCGTTGAATCGCTGAATATTTAGCACCAGGCAAATTAGCTCGGTACATCACCCAACCTAATTCAGATTCAGTTCTAGACTCTTCAAACACATTCAGGTCATCCACGCTCTTACTTTTGTGCAATCCCGAATCTACCTTAGACGAAAAGTTCTTTTTTCGCGAAATGTAAGGAGAAGCTTCAAAATCATCGTTCACCATCGAACATACTTCCTCCAATGCGCTGTCTCGTATCATCTGAGTTTCTATCGTCGGTAAATGAGGATTCCTAATAATATCCATTAGCTGAGGATTCATAAAAACGGAGTTTAGTAAAGGTTTACTGATAGCTAGTTGTTCTTTGGGCTTTTTAGCCATGGGCTTGGATTTCAGCATGTCATCTTCGAAAAGCTGCTTTAATTTTTTTACAGCTTTATCTTCTTTGGACAACTGATCTTCGGGTATGTTTTCGGGTATGTTTTTGTACCAGTCATCCAACGATTTCAGTAGTGTTTCTTCTTCAACCGAAACTGTTTTACGGTGTGCGTGATATTTTAAGGATTCTACAGGATGTTTTTCTCGTTTTTTGACAAGTTTTGGTTTAGATTCTAAACTAGACGAAGGAGATTTCGATTTGAACGTAGACTTAGAGGTTTTAGCGTTATTATCATCAAACTTTTTGTGTATTGTTGAGTCAGGTTCAGTTAAGTTTTCTGTGCTTTTGAAACGTCTGAAAAAACTAAACCCTTCTTTGTGCTGATCGTCCAAAGCAAAGTTCTCTTTACTTTTGTTACGTTTCAAGAACCCCATTGTTTCTTTTTTAGGTTCTTCTGGAGCTAGGTTCTCGATGCTTGCAAAACTTTTCTTTGCTTTCTCATCTGGTCTTTCCCTGCTCCTACTTCGATTTGAGATACGCTCATCCAGCACTTCTCTGCTCCTACTCCTTCTCAATATGGGAAACAGTTTTTCCATGTTTTCAGTTGGACTGGACGGTCTATCTAACAGCGACAACCTGTTGGGAAGAGTGGGGTCGATATTCCTGGCAATGGCGACGATTTGAGGTGACAAGATAATGCTGGTTTGGGTGGCCACAGAGGCTTTTTCACCTGAGGAAAAAACAGGTGTAGTAGTAACTTGTTTAATAGAGACCAGGACTGCCACTGGGAACAAATACAAAAGCTTGGTTCACGCACATTTACCAAAAGCGGTACCTAGAGGTTGGGATAAATCCAAAAACGTGTACTAGAGTTACCTGTTAGTTCGGTTTTAGGGTAAAACAACAAAACTCAAGAGATTAAAACAGTGATTGCCAACAATATACATATACTTTTTTGTTGCGTGTACATTGCTATGAATTTCTGTGAATATTGACAATAAAATTAGGTTTAGCATTCACGGACACGTACTTTTCTAACCAACAAAAAAAACTATTGAAAATGTAAAGTTTTAAGAAAACTTTGTGTCCAAGTGAATGTAACCGAGAAATTTGTCACCGTGGATTCTACCTAGTAACTTCTTGCTTAAAACTATTTTGATTTTAAGTTGTTTCAGTGACAATATTATCTGAAATTAATAACAACATACAGAGTGTAAATGAATAAATGTGAGAAAATTAAGCAGGTGATTAAAAAAATAAGGTGAGTTTTCCATATAAAATTTTTCCATTTCTGTTAGGTTAGGTAAGCAAAGAATTTCGTAGGGACCACAAGCTGAAAAATTTTTAGTAATAAATTCATCAATATTTTTTAAAAAGCAATCACCTGTATTTATTCGCTTTTATTTATCTACACCATGTTTACGCTTGTTAATAGCTATAAACATCTAAAAAATAAAATACTTACACACAGATAAAAGTTTAATATAAACTGTCAACATTATAAAAATTTATTTCCGATAGCAAATAAATCATTACATTTTTTGAATAATGATTGATAGTTTTTGTGAGTCAATGGGTGACTGAGAAAAACGATTTTTTTTCTAAAATATGAACGTTTCACTTTTAAAAAAGCTTTAAGAAAGTAGGGATACCTTAACCCAACACATAATTCCAAAACAAAAATAGAAAAAACAACAACAAAAAAAACAAACCTTTAAGTTTTTCCAGCTGTCCCTCCAAAAGTCGTACTTTTTCTCTGTAAGTTTTATTTTCTAAAATAATTTTCTGCAATTCCTGTTGTGCCTCGGTCTTAAAATCGTTAGCTACGCGAACGGACGTGAGCAAATCAGTCTGGAATTTCTCCCATTCGTCGTTCTAGGAAAGAATAAAAAAACAATTTAAACTATTAAAATTCAAGATTACACGTTAAAGAAATAGTTACAAGAATAAAATAAACAAATACCTTGGCATAGATACACAAATAAGTAATAACAAACACTTGTAAAGCGAAAATCTAATCGAAAAAAGAGAACACTGTTCCATTTCATTATCAATATGGAGATAATAATTTTATCTATGGTTGATAATGCTAAATAAATCTCTTAGTACTAAAAATTTTGCCAGATAAGGTGTGAGTAAAATTCTTTATTATCCTTTTAAAGATATAAATATAGGTGTCTTAGTCATTGAGTTTTAATTACCACTGCATCAACCTATTAAAAAAAAGGTTTGTAAATATCAGGCGTGTCCCTAATTGTTAAATAATTTGGAGACTCCCACTTTCAGTCCATAAATGGAACGTTGTAAAGTGCTTGGTGAATTGAAAGAGAGGTCATTCCCGTTATACACGAAGTATTCTAAGAAATCTATATCAAAAATAATGATCTCATAAAGAACAAACACTAATTAAAATGCCTAAGATTTTTTTGATATAAATTTATAAGTTTTTCAAAGTAATTACTATACTAATAATACAATTAAATCAGCTGAATTAAGCTGAAATTATGGTGAATTAAGGTCTATGCACTGTCTAGTGAAATAATATATATGAGGATACATGGAAGATATGTGCATGGCAAAGGAGTACAACAGGGAGACGCGCCATCCCCAAAGCTGTTTACAGCAACACTAGAAGAAATCTTCCGTCAACTAGACTGGACCAACAAAGGATTAAAAATAGACGGAGAATATCTTAACCATCTAAGATTCGCTGATGACATAGTTTTAATTGCTAATAGTCCTGAAGAATTACAAACACAAATTAACGAAGTAATACAGCTCGCAGTAAAGTAGGTTAGGTTAGGTTGCCAGAACATAATCAACCAAAGAATTAAATTAGCATGGAGTACTAATTGAAGAAACTCAATCACATTTAAATCTAGAATGCCACTTTATCTAAAAACGGACATTATAAGGAAACCGCAGGTCGCACAACGCTCAATGGACCCAAGCAGCATTTGGACGTCGGGACAACGTTGTGTCACGCGACCAAACGTCGGCACAACCTCGTGCCAACCCTAATCTGCACTAGTTTGGAGAATAATTTTTGGGTCGAAACGACGTTGGATACCTACGTTGGCTACCAGCCTAATTTAGTACAAACTGCAACGTTGTTTAAAATCCTAATTGACAGAAATACAAAACTATAATAATATGGCGTCTAAGTCGCGTTTTATCCTAAATTGGGATAATTATAGTAAAAATATTATTTTTATGATTTAGTTAGAGACATATGCCAGATGGCAGTAAAGGAAAACAAAACAAAAGTATTTAAGTGTGGAGGATGTTTGAAGATAATAATTATTAAAACATTTTAACCAACTCTGTAACTCGTTACCCAAGGCAAAAAAGTTAAACGCAAACAACTTTATTGATAAATGTATTGTTTCTACTTTAAAAAAATGGGCCTTAAAATTAGAGAAGTTTTAAAAAATTTCTTGAAATTTTTTTTTAGTAAAATGAGAATAATTTATTCGCAGTCGAAAAAAAATTGTTTCCGCGTGTTGTTTAGGGTCAAATATTTAGTTACTGTATTCAAAAACCAGGAATTCAATTAGGAACGAAACATTTTCTTATTCAACAACATAGCGGCTTTCACTTGGAGATTGTTTTGGAGATTAAGATGGAGTAGTTCGAATAGTCGCATACTGGACTAATAAAGTCGCAGTTCAGCCTTAACAGGTAGTATACTAGTCGCAAGATTGCCTAATTTAGTCATCCTAGAGTCTAGTTTGTGCCGTCCTCTATATTCTAAATAAACGAGGGAGTGGATAAAGTATCGGTAATATGTCGATGTATATTTAAATTTAGTTTTATATGTGCCTTTCTTACGTCCCATTTTAATTAAGTTTTTTTTATAAAAACAAAAACAGCACTGAACTGTCTGACTCAACAGAACAATGAAGGAAAATTTAAGATTTAAGGTTATGGTTCAATACAGTTGCAAAAAGGTAGTGGCTCGACGTCCTACCAACGTAAGAATAAGGAAATCTAAACAACGTTGGAATTAGTAAAACAGACGGCGTTTGCATAACGTTGGAATAGGTCCTGAAAGTGACATTGGAGAACTCTTTATTGCCCAACATTGTAACTACCTTGTCCGAATCAAATGAAGATCACTTAAGCAAAAAAGGTTACAAGACAACGTTTATTCGACGTCGCAGAAGCGAAATTTATTTTAATACCTAAGGTACGGAGCTAACTATTTTTTGTAACTAATCCAACGTTGTGTTTAGTAAACATGTGGTCGCAAGTCGTGAAAATGCTACTTGGGGAGCGAAATATGCTGGGAATAACCAAGAAAGACCGTAAAAGAATATAGTGGATACGACAAAAGACCCAGGTAATAGATGTCATCCACAGAGTCAAATCCCTCAAAGGACAATGGGCAGGACACCTGGCAAGAAGAATGGACAACAGATGGACCACAGAAATTACAGCATGGTACCCACGAGGAATTAAGAGACCTAGAAGTGAACCTGAGATGGGACCATGATATTAGGAAAATGGCAGGGATAACTTGGGCCCGAATAGCCAACAATACACAACAATGGGCCCAACTACAAAGAGAGTGCCTATATAATAGTACAAGAGTTAAAAAAGTTGTTGCCCTGCCCGGATTCGAACTCTGAATCCTCGGCTCGTAGTCGAAAACCCTAGCGCTGCACTATGGAGACATGTTCGATTTATATTCAATACTAGAATTTATAGGACTAAATAAAAAAATATATAGGACCTTCTTCCGATGCGCAGTAGTGAACGCAACGGGTATCGGCTGCCAGACGGGCCGCATGCTGTTCCAGAGAGCATAGTAAAAGATATATCAAAGAGCCAGCTTTCTTAAAATACTTTCTCGAAAACGTTGCTAGCTCTTAGACTATAATTGGAAATGGTTGAATAAGCTGAAAATGATGATGAATTTACCAAAAAAACTTACCTCTTCTGCACGAAGTTTCTTCAATTCCTCAATATCGTTTTCTAAAGTCAAATTTCTTCTTTCATTCTCACTTAAATTTCTCTGAGTTTCTGACAACACCGCCGATAGCTGTCGTTTATCCTCTAGATGGCACTGGGCATGTACCTTTAATAATATTAGTTGATAGTATTTAATTAACAAACATAGAAAATAAAATCTATTTTACATGTATCCAGTAGCTGACACCAATAAATAAGTAAATAGAACAGCTAAGAAAAGGTGATAAGGATTTGGCAAAAAGCAAAATCAGATTTCCCTAACGGACTACAAATCTTTTGAACGGGGATTGCTTCGTGCAAAACAAAATTTAGTTAAATTAAAATTAAAGGTTAGAATGATACTGATCCAGCTGAACTGGAACTTGGATTTAGGTCCATGAAGCTTTATGTAACTCCAGACCCGGACCTTTTAAAATACCGGATCTACCTATCTCTACTAGATATGTGTAATTCAGCCTTTACCGGAAAACGAGAGAACCAATAATATGTAATTATTATTTTTTGACTTTACTGTGAATTTAAGCGAAAAATTGTAGAAGTTCTCCAAATAAATATAAGAAGATTTAAAAGTAATACCTTGTATGTAATTATATATAGAAAAACTATGGTTACGCCCGTTCAATTTGACACTTTATATCAGTCTAATAATATCTAGGAATATATTTCATACTTTTGTGCTTAGGCTATGGCTTAGGCCTTAAAATGACTTTTTCATATTGTCAATCACGTCGCAATAATTAATACTTTTGTGACGCTTGAAAAAAAAAGTTTAGTTGATTATAAAGACCCAAAGATAATCTACCTGCAGTTCATTTACAGCTTCCTGGAATTGTTGCAGCTGCTCACTGAGATTGTTCTTTTCAGAGATCAATTTTTCGCATTTGTATTCTAAATCTGACTGGGTGGTTTTAGCATTATTTCTAGTTACTTTGCACTCTTCCTATTAATAAAAAAAGGACAAATTAAAAAATATACACATTCAAAATAATTTAAACATTTACCTGTAACACAAACACCTGTTCCTTTAATTTTTCGATTTCGTTCTTACTTCTGGCCAACTGTTCTTTCAAATAAGCCACCTCTGATTCTAGCTGATCCTTTTCTTTCCTGGCATTATCGAGAAGTTCGTCGAGCTCGCTTTTATCGCTGAGAGCTCTATCTTGTTCTAATTCGTTTATCTGAAATAACAAATCAATAATTTTATTCTTTTTCAAACAATATTGTTCTACCTTAGTCCTGGCATTGTCCAGTAAATCGGTTAGTCTATTTATTTCGATTTGTTTTCCAGAACACTGATCTTTGGCTTGAGTTAATTCCTGATCTAACTGTTTATGTTCAGCGTGTTTCGCGTCCAAGGTGCATTCTAACGTTTTAACTCTTTCGGCAAGTTGAGCTATATCTTCATTTTTCTCCATAATACCTTTATAAAAAATACACATATAAAATAATAAGATTAACTGATGTGAACTGAAATTACCGCTCCGGGACTCATGTAACTCCCCTTGAACCTGTTCCAGCTTGACAAGAAAGGCCTCCCTCTCCTCTTGAGCTGACTTTACCATCTCCATCAAACGTTCTTCTCTTTCCACGACGTTTTCAAACTGACTCACCCCATTTTCATCGCTGCTTTCCCTGTACAGCACTTGCTTCAAATTCTCCACTTCTTTCCTAGAATCATTTAATCGTTCCGTTTGTCGACATAGACTGTCAAACATCAAAGATTTCTCTTCGTTGAGTCGTTCGTTTTCTTGCTGGAGCTCGGTGAGTTGACGCTGGAGATCGGTGAGTTCTTGGAGAGTAGCTTGAAGCTCTTCATTAGTACTGGAATCAGTAAATTTTTGAAATTAGTAATTGGATTAACCGGGTTGGGAATAGGGAATAACCTATAGTGAGTTTCCTGCATTTGGTTGATCTTGTCTTGCAAACAGGCTACAGATACTTCACTCACGTTACTGCTGGAGTGCTTGTCCCAGTCAGGTGTAGTGCAAGTAGTAGCCTCGCCCCCGTTGTCATCTATAACCTGTTAAAATAATTTGCCAATAAATTTTATTTGTCTTCAAAAATTATTTCGATTGTATTATTTTGTTAGATCAAAATATCTAGCAGATCAGAAGGTACAGATCATCACCTAGCATTAAAGTCAAATTTAGTAATGACATGAAAATATCAATCCTATGATCTATAAAATAGATACGATGGCGTTCGACATGTAAAAAAATGTCAGGGTAAAAGGGGGTAAGTCTCAGGGTAAAAAAATGTATATAATTCATCACAGAACTTCAATACGCTGATGACTGCGCTCTAGTTACAAAAACGTTACATCAATTACAAGAAATGTTACAAACACATATACCTGGGCATACGAGGCTTCGGGCCTTAAGCTGAACATTGACAAAACTAAAATCATGTGCACTCCCCCGGAAGATCACAACAATGCTATAAAAATCGGAGAAGAATTATTGGAATTCAATTACCTAGGCAGTTTGATTTCGGAAAAGGCCAATTTCGACTCTGAAATTCAGCACAGGATTAGCAGCGCCTCAAGAGAATTCTGGAAATTAAAAGACAGGGTTTTCTACAATCATGACAAAAATGAAACTTGCAGTGTACCAAGCAATAATAATCCCCACCATGTTATATGGAAGCGACACCTGGGAAGCGACACCTGGGTAACGGTATGTTGACGGTGTAGACGGTAAGAGGAGGCCGGGTGGACAACTGAAAAGGTACAAGGATATTTTCCACAAAAACTTAAAGGGAATTAACAAGCAGAATGAGTGGGAGGAAGCAGCTCACAATAGAAAGGAATGGAGAAGAATTGTAAAGTCAGTTAATAGCGACAATCAAAAAGTAAAGAGGCAACAAAGCAATGAGGTTTTTGAATGTCTGGAGTGCGGTAGACAGATAACATCACGTATCGGGCTTTTCAGTCACAGAAAAGCTCATGAAATAAAACGCCTTGCGTGACCATCTTTGTGTCAAATACTCGTCAGCGAGTAATGGCAGTATGCATGTATGTATATATGTAATCCTCTGAATATCTGAGAAGAGTGATCTACGTCCAGTAACAGCCACAAACTTCAACAACAAATAAAAATAACTATCCCAGGCAGAGGACAGACTGGAAAAACTATGTGCCCATTCAAGTTGATCATCAAGATCATTCAAGATCATCACAACTGGAGATGAAGGAAGCACTGTTATACTGTAACCGATCAGTAAAATACCGTAAGCATGAGACTATAACAATCTAGATTCAATAAGGTCAAGATAGAGAACAGCAAAATATAACGTTAAACATTGGATGAAGAGGTTGACTGAGGATGATAAAAAAATAAAGGCTGATAACACAGTAAAAAATAATTATACTTACATTAGTTGCTATCGATGCTGGAGCACTACTATGATGCCTGCTTTCAAACAACAACTGCTGCTTTTCATTATCACTAAGAGGAGAATGAGCTACATCTCTAAGGCGATTCCTCAATGCTGTATTTTCTTCTGCTAATCGTTCCATTTCCACGTTACTTTCCTCTTGGAATGACTGTGAAAGTCAGAATTTAGATATTAAACAAACAATTAGTTAGGTGAAATAGAAATACCTTTAATTTTTGAATCTCCTTTTGAAGAACATTCAGTTGCCCTCTTTGCTCACCAAGCTGCAACGCCAGTGAGTTTTTCTCATCTGCCATCTCCCTCAGTTGCTTCCTCAATAGCTGGAGTTCTTCCTCTTGTAGCGAGTCTGTCGAATAGGATAGAGGCTGAATCCCAGACGGTACTGGAAGTTCTAGTTTGTTGTTGTTTCTTGTAACACCTAAAGAATACCCATTGGGGATAAAGTTTTCTATGAAGTTTACCAAAATCAAACCTCTTTTGGCATCGTGACCAGCTTTGTCGATAATTTCTTTTGAGGCTGCCTTGCGTGGTTTGGCCCCTTTGCCTCCCTGGACTTGGTAGTTCGATTCTAAAGAGTCGAGGTTGGTGACGGACGAAGTTCTCGATAGGTTGTCGCTGTGAACTTGACCGTCTTTGTGTTGTCCTCTGCGAAATATCGCTTTGATGGATTTCATGATGCGTTTTATGTGTTCAGGATCCGATAAAAGCTAGGAGTTTGGAACTTCTTTATAGCATGTACTTTGAGCTATTATGTACTATTGGTTTGTACTCTTTTCCGTTGATTTAATATGGCATGATCGGGACAAGCACATGTTGCTTGTTGTAAAGTTCATTGGCATACATTTTTAGTTGTTTGAGTTGCTGTAGACGATATGATCTAAAGATGACATTTTGATAACAGATGTTTTATTTTAAGGCGAAACTGTATTGGATTTTAAAAAGCTGGTTTATTTGCTTGCAACACTGCACGACGCGGGATTGAGATGAGAGGTTGTTTTAAACACAATTTTAACCCCAGTCAATATATGTTTAACCCTTAACGGCTACAGAGTGGTCTGTCAGTCACCTCGAGCTAAACATTCCTCTATATTTCGTAAACGCCTGCAACTGTGGCACCAACCCTGCCACAGTTCCAACCGATATACAGGGCGGTCCGAACTGTATTCCGGAAACTTTGGCAGCATATTCTGCAGATAAAAATAACTAAAAAAGTTCGTATAAATGTATGTCCTAAAATGCTTAGTTTCGGAGATACAGGGTGTAGAAGTTTCATTTTTATTTCGATTTTTTCCAAATAATTTCTGAAGTAACGTCAATATTTGGATGAAAATTTGTGTCTGGGAGTTTTTTCACATGATAAATTTGATTTTGGTGTCAATATGACTCCTACTTGTAGAGGGCGCCACCTACATATTTTTAACTGGTTTGAAAAGTAATAACTTTTCGTCCGTACCTGTATAAAACTACTGAGTAAAAACATATACATTCACAACGTTTTTTACGTAAAAAAAGTCTCTTGGTAAAAATCGCTACGAGTAATGGTTCTCGAGATATTTGGAATCGAAATTATCAATACCTGTCATCGTTTAAGGTCAAAAATTAGGTGTATAAATTGAACACGTTGACTAAATAGTTATTAGACTGAAATCATAAATTTTAAATGTTTTTGTGCCAAAAGTTCTACAGAAACTGTTATATCATCATTTTTTCGCAGAAACTTTTATGATTAATATAAAAAAGTAAAAATTTCCCAAATTTATTTTATTTCAGTCAAATAACTATCTACTCAATGTCTTTATTTTTTGTCAATAATGACATGTATTGACTATTTCCGTTCTAAATATCTTCAGAACGGTTGTTCGTAGCGATTTTTACCAAGAGACATTTTTTACGTAAAAAATCACGGAAATGTATATTTTTTCACTCAGTAGTTTTATACAGGTACGGACGTTAAGTTTAAGTTATTACTCTTCAAAACAGCTAAAACACATGTAGGTGGCGCCCCCTACATATAGGAGTTATATTGACATCAAAGTCAAATTTCTCATGTCCAAATACTCCCGAACACCAATTTTCATCCAAATATTGACGTTATTTCAGAAATTATTTGGAAAAAATCGTAATAAAAATCTATCTCTTTTCATTTTCAAGATAAAAAATAAAAACATTATTTTTCCGCCATCTTTGTACCGCGATATCTCCCTAATGGTTGACTTTTGACCCAACGTTTATAAAGCAAACTACCCTTTATTTTGAACAAGGAATCACCCCCTGAAGTTTTTCGCATTTGTTTTGAAACACCCTGTATATCATGACATATATCATAACAGATTCTTAGGACAAAATTTAACACAGTTTCAAAAACAACAGGGTTTCGATCTTCTAAATTCAATAAACCCAGAATTTGTCCCGCTTGTAATGGCTCTCACTACAAAGTCTTGTCCATTTCTAATGTATTTATTTTCCGCACAATTTCAAACAACAAATTCGATGATTTGGTGGAAATCGATTGCAATTCGTGACTCAGAGTGGCCAAAAAAAGAATTAAACTTACAACTATATGAGAAATTTTTCAGTGCAGTAGAGTGGCAATAGCTGGTTTAGAAAGATTTTCTTTTCCAGCTTTGGAATAATTCAATTTAAATTAACAAATCATTTAGGCAACGAAAAAGCTAGTAAACTGGTATTTATTTTTAAATGTTTAGATCAAAATACCGATAAAAAAGCCAAAAGCTTCGACTGGATCTTGTAAATTGATGAACTAAGTGAAGATCTTAAGTGAAGATCATAGTAACAATGACATTCCTGTTGTCCCATTTTTAGTTACTTAAAAATTTACCAAACGACAAGTTTTTTATTATCGGTACATTATAGGAAAAATATTATTTTCTTTTGTCTTGTTTTATAAGCCCTGAAAATATTTGCACTTATTTAAAACGCAGTCTGTATAGGTCATAATAGGGCATAAGAGGGTCACCACCCTCTTTTTTAAACAGTTTTAAACAGATATTTAAACAAATAATGTTCTTAAACAAAATGTTTCAAATATAACCCTAGAAAGACATAAAGGTTTTATCAAAAAATATTTTTAAATTTCTCTGGGTTTACTTATTTCTCTAAAGAGGTGGGAATAGTACCAATCCCGCTATTCGAGAATATCAATTTAATTTATGGTAAAATAGAAATAAATTGATATTCTCGGATACAGAACTCGAGGACATTCTGTAGCAATCGAACCGGATCCGGTAAAATCTACCATTTTTAAAATTTCCTTTTCCGACGACGCGACAGCAACAAAAACGCGTAGTGTTTGAGCAACAACCCGGCGATTCCGTATCTCGCTGACCATTCATTCCACCGCCATATTAGGCAATGGACAAAAATCTCGTACCTACGTGTATCTTTAAATTGCACACGGCCATGGATAAAGATAATATTTCATTGGTTTATAGTTATTGGACGACTAAAGGCTAAGAGCGTGACTCGGGATTAGAGATGAACTTTATTAAAGTAACATCGATAATCTAATTGGAATCAGCTCAAATAAGTATATAGTACTCCCATAAGGCTAGTATGTTAACTAACGAATACATAGAGAAGTTGAACAAATTAGGCAGAGAAAATAAAGTACTCCTACATTGGGTGCCAGCTGCCAGCCTACCAAGGGGTAGAATGCAATGAAAAAGCAAATGATCTAGCTAGAAAAGGAGCGAACACTCCACTAACTGGACCAGAACCGTTCTGTTTTCCAAGCGGAAACCAATTAAAAGCAGAACTGAGGAACCTGGAAGACTCCATCCGGAGAGACTCATCCTACTCCGTAACCTGAAATGGGTGTCCTCCAATGGTCTAAAACATTCAAAAAAGTTCCTCAGAACTTACGACTGAGAAAAATCAGAGATTTTCCTAGATTTAAGTAAAAACAATCTTCGGACTGTCACGGGGTTTCTAACAGGACACTATCTCCTCAACGAACACCTCGGTAGGCTGAAGCTGAGAAACAACGGCGAATGCAGATTCTGTGGGGATAATGGGGAAACACCCGAACACCTTATCACTGAGTGCGCCGAGACGACGACAGTTCGTGCCATGAACTTTGATACGGCTGATGTCAAGGATGGAGAGCTGGCCTCTTTGTGGAGCCGTCACAGATACTGGCTTTTGTTAAAGCCCTGAGACTGTATGATGAGTTATAACTCTTTATAACTCAAGAAATGGGAAGAAATTGGCTTCAAAATGAGCTCAAAATTTAACTCCCCTTCTAAACATTCTGCATTCTAGTCTTGATCTTGATTTCTGCGCAAAACCAAGACCGGAAAACCAAGACCAGTCTCGCTCATCACTAACTACAATTACCAAACAGGTAAAACTGACAGTTAAACCGTTACATGAAGAAAGAACTTAATTGCTTAGGATTGACAAACGAATTGGCTTGATAAAAGAATATCGATATTCTAACTATCGATTTGCTTACACACCTCTACCCGAACCTGCTACTTGATGGCGCCACCACCACCACTAAACAGACAAATCGATTTAAATTATCACGCGTAAATAAGCGATTTGCCCTTATATAAGAAATTCCGGTTTGCGCAATTGTATTAATGTTAATCTATAAACAAAACGAACGCGATACTTCTGACCTTCCGATTAAAATGGTTAAGGATTTTTCGAGTTTTGAGTTTCTTTGTTCAGTAGCTACATTAGATAGAAATAATCGATGTTGCACAGTAAATAATTTTCATAGAAAAGCCTAGAAATTACACTCCATCACGCTTTTTATATTTGGACAGACACACTTCAATCATGTTTGCAGCATGAAAAGATGTGCACTATGAATAGAGATCCATCATGAATAGAGACAATTAGAACCTTATTTTAAAAATTATGAAAAATTTTACTCACAAAATTACCCTTTATTTTTTTTACAAGACCATTTTTGGGAACCCATAATATATAAGGCACTCATTAGTGCATCAGCCTGAGGAAGATGCTCTATCTCCTTTTAAAGAAACATCAGAAAAGAATAGTAGAATAAAAAAAATGTGTGCGCGTATTTGAAGTAAAACTTCTTCTTATCTCCGTCTGTTTGTCCGTCTGAGGACTTCATACGGGTACTTCTACCTGCGTGCCATGTTTGGTTCCAATCTTTGGTTCCAATCGGACTTTGGTTCCAATCGACCCATTAAGAATAATCCTGATGATTCCTCCCATTTATAGGCATCGATCGGTTCGAAATGTGGTTCGAAACGTCGAGAGCGTCATCCTGTAGCCCGTCCCCAATTATGCCAAAATCGATCCACTTTTTTCTTCAATATTAAATTCTTAGTCCCAACCTGATGAACATTTAAACGAAACGTCGTATCCCACTTTACAGGGTGAAATCGTGTGCACCGTCGCGTCGCTCACATAACCTATGCACCAAATTTGGTCGCGATCGGACGACTTCAATTTTTGACGTTTCTTACGTCAAAATTGTCACAGTGACACAGGTCGTTGACGGTCAAGTTGGCCTTGGTCTAGGGTTTCCATAGAGGCTTTCTAAAAAACATTCACTTTCCAGGAGTGCACCAAGAGCGAAAAATATGAACGCCAAAGTATTGAAATGGGTATTTTCAGTTAATGAAATATAAATAAAAAGGTTA